CATTTACTGGGACTCCTACTCATTTGTGGAGCCCAGAAGTTGTTCTAGTTCTGGGGAAGAACACGGCAGTGCCCGCCCCAACACCGGCTCCAACATCGGGGACTGGGCAATGGCAGCCTCCCAACTGCAGTCCGGTCCACAAATGTTCTACAGTCAGCGGAACACAACGATCGACTGACCTTGATTGTCCTCTGCAGGCCAGAGACGGTTCGTTTATCGGCCGATTTTCGCACTGTTAGTGGGGCGATGGCATCGGACGATTTTCGCACTGTTAGTGGGGCGATGGCATCGGGCGATTTTCGCACTGTTAGTGGAGCGATGGCATCGGACGATTTTCGCACTGTTAGTGGGGCGATGGCATCGGCTGATTTTCGCACCGTTAGTGGGGCGATGGCATTGGCTGATTTTCGCACTGTTAGTGGGGCGATGGCATCGGCTGATTTTCGCACTGTTAGCGGGGCGATGGCATCGGCTGATTTTCGCACTGTTAGCGGGGCGATGGCATCGGACGATTTTCGCACCGTTAGTGGGGAGATGGCATCGGACGATTTTCGCACCGTTAGTGGGGCGATGGCATCGGACGATTTTCGCACCGTTAGTGGGGCGATGGCATCGGCTGATTTTCGCACTGTTAGCGGGGCGACGGCATCGGCCGATTTTCGCACTGTTAGTGGGGCGATGGCCGATTTTCGCACTGTTAGCGGGGCGATGGCATCGGCTGATTTTCGCACTGTTAGCAGGGCGATGGCATCGGCTGATTTTCACACTGTTAGCGGGGCGATGGCATCGGACGATTTTCGCACTGTTAGCGGGGCGATGGCTTCGGACAATTTTCGCACTGTTAGCGGGGCGATGGCATCGGACGATTTTCGCACTGTTAGCGGGGCGATGGCATCGGACGATTTTCGCACTGTTAGCGGGGCGATGGCATCGGACGATTTTCGCACTGTTAGCGGGGCGATGGCATCGGACGATTTCCGCACCGTTAGTGGGGCGATGGCATCGGACGATTTTCGCACTGTTAGTGGGGCGATGGCATCGGCTGATTTTCGCACCGTTAGCGGGGCGATGGCATCGGACGATTTTCGCACCGTTAGCGGGGCGATGGCATCGGACGATTTTCACACCGTTAGCGGGGCGATGGCATCGGACAATTTTCGCACCGTTAGTGGGGCGATGGCATCGGACGATTTTCGCACCGTTAGTGGGGCGATAGCATCGGACGATTTTCGCACCGTTAGCGGGGCGATGGCATCGGCTGATTTTCACACCGTTAGCGGGGCGATGGCATCGGACGATTTTCGCACTGTTAGCGGGGCGATGGCATCGGACGATTTTCGCACTGTTAGTGGGGCGATAGCATCGGACGATTTTCGCACCGTTAGCGGGGCGATGGCATCGGCTGATTTTCGCACTGTTAGCGGGGCGATGGCATCGGACGATTTTCGCACTGTTAGTGGGGCGATGGCATCGGACGATTTTCGCACCGTTAGTGGGGCGATGGCATCGGCTGATTTTCGCACTGTTAGCGGGGCGACGGCATCGGCCGATTTTCGCACTGTTAGTGGGGCGATGGCCGATTTTCGCACTGTTAGCGGGGCGATGGCATCGGCTGATTTTCGCACTGTTAGCGGGGCGATGGCATCGGCTGATTTTCGCACCGTTAGTGGGGCGATGGCCGATTTTCGCACCGTTAGTGGGGCGATGGCCGATTTTCGCACTGTTAGCGGGGCGATGGCATCGGCTGATTTTCGCACTGTTAGCGGGGCGATGGCATCGGCTGATTTTCGCACTGTTAGCGGGGCGATGGCATCGGCCGATTTTCGCACTGTTAGCGGGGCGATGGCATCAGACGATTTTCGCACTGTTAGCGGGGCGATGGCATCGGCTGATTTTCGCACCGTTAGTGGGGCGATGGCATCGGCCGATCTTCGCACTGTTAGTGGGGCGATGGCATCGGACGATTTTCGCACTGTTAGCGGGGCGATGGCATCGGCTGATTTTCGCACTGTTAGCGGGGCGATGGCATCGGCTGATTTTCGCACTGTTAGCGGGGCGATGGCATCGGCTGATTTTCGCACTGTTAGCGGGGCGATGGCATCGGCTGATTTTCGCACTGTTAGCGGGGCGATGGCATCAGACGATTTTCGCACTGTTAGCGGGGCGATGGCATCGGCTGATTTTCGCACTGTTAGCGGGGCGATGGCATCGGCTGATTTTCGCACTGTTAGCGGGGCGATGGCATCGGCTGATTTTCGCACTGTTAGCGGGGCGATGGCATCGGCTGATTTTCGCACTGTTAGCGGGGCGATGGCATCGGCTGATTTTCGCACTGTTAGCGGGGCGATGGCATCAGACGATTTTCGCACTGTTAGCGGGGCGATGGCATCGGCTGATTTTCGCACTGTTAGCGGGGCGATGGCATCGGCTGATTTTCGCACTGTTAGCGGGGCGATGGCATCGGCTGATTTTCGCACTGTTAGCGGGGCGATGGCATCGGCTGATTTTCGCACTGTTAGCGGGGCGATGGCATCGGCTGATTTTCGCACTGTTAGCGGGGCGATGGCATCGGACGATTTTTTCGCACTGTTAGCGGGGCGATGGCATCGGACGATTTTCGCACTGTTAGCGGGGCGATGGCATCGGACGATTTTCGCACAGTTCCTCTTTATTTCTTTTATCGGTCATGCTGGAAAATTTGCGAAAAATGGCCGATTTTCGCAATCACTGGAGGGAACAGAACGACCGATGTTTAGTTTTTCAGATGAAAAATCGTCCGATAAACGAACGCTCCATGGCCTGCATGAATCATTGGCATCCTCTATGCACCCCAAAATGCAGAAGCCAGCAAAGTGCCGGTCATACCGATGCGATATGCGAATTGAAATCGCATCTGATGAATGTCGGTGTCTTAACGTGCGATTTGCTGCAGTTCTTGTGTTACTTTCTCTGCCGTTTTGTTGCGATTTCACATACACAGAATATACTGGAAAGTCGCACGATGTGTGCGCAACTTCAGCGCAATTTCTGAAGACTTTATTGCTACTTGTGAAGATTTTTAGCGATTTCTTGCAATCTGCAGAGCGACTTTCCATTGTATTCTATGTACGCGAAAACTGCAGAAAAAGTCACGTAAGAACTACTTTAGAAATCGCACGGTAAGACGCCGACATTCACATTCATTAGATGCGATTTCTATTCCCAAATCGCACACTAAACCGACCCACCGACCGACCACTAAATCACCAGTCACACCGCTGCGATTTAAAATCGTGCAGATTTGTGTGCAATTTCTGAAGACTTTATTGCTGCTTGAGAAGATTTTCAACGATTTCTTGCCATTTGCGGTGCGATTTCCATTGTATTCTATGTATGTGAAATCGCAACAATACTGTAGAAAAAGTCACGCAAGAAGTACTTTAGAAATTGCGCTGCAGCAAATCGCACCTTAAGACACTGACATTCATTAGATGCAATTTCAATTCCTAAATCGCACCGCTATGACCGGCCACTAAATCACCAGTCACATCGTGCAATCTGTGTGCAATTTTGTGTGCGATTTCTGAAGACTTTATTGCTACTTGAGAAGATTTTCAACGATTTCTTGACTTTATTATGATTGTGAAGATTTTCAACGATTTCCTGCAATTTACGGTGCGATTTTCATTCTATTCTGAGTATGTGAAATCGCAACAAAACTGCAGAAAAAGCAATGCAAAAACGACTTTAGAAATGGCGCTGCAGCAAATCGCACGTTCAGACACCGACATTCAAATTCATTAAATGCAGTTTCAATGCCCAAATCGCTATGGTATGACCGGCCACTAAATCAGCACTCACACCGTTGCGATTTAAAATTGCGTGATTTGTGTGCAATTTCAGGTGCGATTTCTGAAGACTTTATTGCGACTTGTGAAGATTTTCAACGATTTCTTGCGTTTCTCCATTATATTCTATGTAGGTAAAATTGCAACAAAACTGCAGAAAAAGTCACACAAGAGCTACTTTAGAAATCGCACGTTAAGACGCCGACATTCACATTCATTAAATGCCATTTCAGGTGCAATTTCAATTTCCAAATCGCACCGGTATGACAGGCCACTAAATCACCACTCACGCTGCTGCGATTTAAAATCGTGCAATCTGTGTGCAATTTCAGGTGCGATTTCTGAAGACTTTATTATGATTGTGAAGATTTTCAACGATTTCTTGCAACCTGTAGTGCGATTTTCCCATGATCTTCTATGTACGTGAAATCGCAAAAAAACTGCAGAAAAGGTCACTCAAGAACTACTTTAGAAATCGCACCACAGCAAATCGCAAATGTTATAAGATGCCGACGCTCACATTCATTTTAGATGCGATTTCAGGTACGACTTCAATTATCAAATCGCACCGGTATATTGGGCACTTAACATCCTATTTGAAAGCTGTATGATTGAAGCTGACCCCTCTAGACCCCACCCAGTAAACACCTACCCAAGTCTGTAACACCCAAACAGCTTCAGCATTCAAGAGTGGTTAGGGCCAGGGGTAGGCAACCTGCGGCTCGCTAGCTGTTGTGGAACTACATTTCCCACGAGGCATTGCAAAGATTACAAAACTGACAGTTACAGCTCTGACTTGCAGAGGCATGATGGAACTTGTAGTCCTGCGGCTCTCAGGTTGCCTACCCCTGGGTTAGGGTGTCGGCTCCTAGAGCCCGCCTCCGCTTCCACAAAAGTGTTAAAAAAGGTGAGACCTGTACCTACTGTATAAACCCTGTGAGCAAGCCCTTAGGGACGGAACGCGTCTGGACGGAGTTTTTATATGTTGAGTGCAGATGGATTTCATGGAGTAAAACAATACGAAGAGCTCACAATGGAGTGCGACTTTTTAACCTAGTGCGTCTACATTGGCATGCGCAGTACTGGGGGGGGTGGGGCTACGGCCGCACACTCACCATAAGCAGCAGCCCACGCCACAGGAACAAACGTCTTGCTTAGTCCTGAATCTTCCACCTGGGCGTCTGTGAGTGACGTGGCCTCTTCCTCCCCCACAATCACCTCCATGTACACTTCATCGGCTATCTCCGCACACCCTAAAGACAATAAAAACACAATTCTGAGCGATGAAACCCCTGAATCGTCGTATCATAAAACGCCGGGCGAAAAGGAAAGCATCTGCTCCGCCCACAGCAGCCAATCTGATCACAGCGTGAATATTCGAGGTGCTGGATCCGACCTATCGATAGGCTCCATGCACACTGGGGGGGTTTAATAACGCTGGTAACGTTGGCTGTGTAAAGTCGCAATAAAGATGTGCGGTTTTGCATTAGCGCTTAGGCGCGTTTCTCTGCGTTTGCTGAGTCCAGGGAACCTTAGGGTCCCTCTAGAGATAGCTAAGGGTTCTAAAGCCCACCCTTTAGATCAGGGTTTCTCAACCAGGGGTCCAAGGAACTTTAGGGATCCTCTAGAGATAACTAAGGGTTCTAAAGTGCATCCTTTAGATCAGGGTTTCTGAACCAGGAGTCCAGGGAACCTTAGGGTTCCTCTAGAGATAACTAAGGGTTCTAAAAACCACCCTTTAGATCAGGGTTTCTCAACCAGGGGTCCAGGGAACCTTAGGGTTCCTCTAAAGATAGCTAAGGTTCTAAAGCGCATCCTTTAGATCAGGGTTTCTCAACCAGGGGTCCAGGGAACCTTAGGGTTCCTCTAGAGATAGTGCAGGGTTCCTTGAGAAATTTCTGCCTCTCAGATAAGTTCCCACTGACACCACTGATCTTTTTATCTATCTGTAAGGGGGAAATTCTTCTCAATGACCACAATGAGTATTCTATCTTGGACAAGGTTCCGTCAAAACGGACCCAGTGTAAGCTCACTCTTTTTATCAGGGTTTCTGAACCAGGGGTCCAAGGAACGTTAGGGTTCCTCTAGAGATAACTAAGGGTTCTAAAGTGCATCCTTTAGATCAGGGTTTCTCAACCAGGGTTCTTCTAGAGATAGCGAAGGTTCTAAAGCGCATCCTTTAGATCAGGGTTTCTCAACCAGGGGTCCAGGGAACCTTAGGGTTCCTCTAGAGATAGCTAAGGTTCTAAAGCGCATCCTTTAGATCAGCGTTTCTCAACTAGGCTTCCTCTAGAGATAGCTAGGAGTTCCTTGAGCAATGAGCAATTTCTTCCTCCCAGATAAGTTCCCACTGACACCACTGATCTTTTTCTCTATCTGTAAGGGAGGAATTCTTCTCAATGACCACAACTGTAAGGAGCATTCTATCTTGGACAAGGTTCTGTCAAAACGGACCCAGTGTAAGCGCACCCTTTAGATCAGGGTTTCTCAACCAGGGTTCCTCTAGAAATAGCTAAGGGTTCTAAAGTGCACCCTTTAGATCAGGGTTTCTCAACCAGGAGTCCAGGGAACCTTAGGGTTCCTCTAGAGATAGCTAAGGTTGTAAAGCGCATCCTTTAGATCAGGGTTTCTCAACCAGGAGTCAAGGGAACCTTAAGGTTCCTCTAGAGATAGCGAAGAGTTCTAAAGCACACCCTTTAGATCAGGGTTTCTCAACCAGGAGTCCAGGGAACCTTAGGGTCCCTCTACAGATAGCTAAGAGTTCTAAAGCGCATCCTTGAAATCAGGGTTTGTCAACCAGGAGTCCAGGGAACCTTAGGGTTCCTCTAGAGATAACTAAGGGTTCTAAAGTACACCCTTTAGATCAGGGTTTCTCAACCAGGAGTCCAGGGAACCTCAGGTTTCCTCTAGAGATAGCTAAGAGTTCTAAAGCACACCCTTTAGATCAGGGTTTCTCAACCAGGAGTCCAGGGAACCTTAGGGTCCCTCTAGAGATAGCTAAGAGTTCTAAAGCACATCCTTTAGATCAGGGTTTCTCAACCAGGAGTCCAGGGAACCTTAGGGTTCCTCTAGAGATAGCTAAGGTTCTAAAGCACATCCTTTAGATCAGGGTTTCTCAACCAGGGTTCCTCTAGAGATAGCTAAGGGTTCTAAAGCGCACCCTTTAGATCAGGGTTTCTCAACTAGGGTTCCTCTAGAGATAGCTAGGAGTTCCTTGAGCAATGAGCAATTTCTGCCTCTCAGATAAGTTCCCACTGACACCACTGATCTTTTTATCTATCTGTAAGGGAGGAATTCTTCTCAATGACCACAACTGTAAGGAGCATTCTATCTTGGACAAGGTTCTGTCAAAACGGACCCAGTGTAAGCGCACCCTTTAGATCAGGGTTTCTCAACCAGGGTTCCTCTAGAAATAGCTAAGGGTTCTAAAGTGCACCCTTTAGATCAGGGTTTCTCAACCAGGAGTCCAGGGAACCTTAGGGTTCCTCTAGAGATAGCTAAGGTTCTAAAGCGCATCCTTTAGATCAGGGTTTCTCAACCAGGAGTCCAGGGAACCTTAGGGTCCCTCTACAGATAGCTAAGAGTTCTAAAGCGCATCCTTGAAATCAGGGTTTGTCAACCAGGAGTCCAGGGAACCTTAGGGTTCCTCTAGAGATAACTAAGGGTTCTAAAGTACACCCTTTAGATCAGGGTTTCTCAACCAGGAGTCCAGGGAACCTCAGGTTTCCTCTAGAGATAGCTAAGAGTTCTAAAGCACACCCTTTAGATCAGGGTTTCTCAACCAGGAGTCCAGGGAACCTTAGGGTCCCTCTAGAGATAGCTAAGAGTTCTAAAGCACATCCTTTAGATCAGGGTTTCTCAACCAGGAGTCCAGGGAACCTTAGGGTTCCTCTAGAGATAGCTAAGGTTCTAAAGCACATCCTTTAGATCAGGGTTTCTCAACCAGGGTTCCAGGGAACCTTAGGGTTCCTCTAGAGATAGCTAAGGGTTCTAAAGCGCACCCTTTAGATCAGGGTTTCTCAACTAGGGTTCCTCTAGAGATAGCTAGGAGTTCCTTGAGCAATGAGCAATTTCTGCCTCTCAGATAAGTTCCCACTGACACCACTGATCTTTTTATCTATCTGTAAGGGAGGAATTCTTCTCAATGACCACAACTGTAAAGAGCATTCTATCTTGGACAAGGTTCTGTCAAAACGGACCCAGTGTAAGCACATCCTTTAGATCAGGGTTTCTCAACCAGGGTTCCTCTAGAAATAGCTAAGGGTTCTAAAGTGCACCCTTTAGATCAGGGTTTCTCAACCAGGAGTCCAGGGAACCTTAGGGTTCCTCTAGAGATAGCTAAGGTTCTAAAGCACACCCTTTAGATCAGGGTTTCTCAACCAGGAGTCCAGGGAACCTTAGGGTCCCTCTAGAGATAGCTAAGAGTTCTAAAGCGCATCCTTGAAATCAGGGTTTGTCAACCAGGAGTCCAGGGAACCTTAGGGTTCCTCTAGAGATAACTAAGGGTTCTAAAGTACACCCTTTAGATCAGGGTTTCTCAACCAGGAGTCCAGGGAACCTCCGGGTTCCTCTAGAGATAGCTAAGAGTTCTAAAGCACACCCTTTAGATCAGGGTTTCTCAACCAAGAGTCCAAGGAACCTTAAGGTTCCTCTAGAGATAGCTAAGAGTTCTAAAGCTCACCCTTTAGATCAGGGTTTCTGAACCAGGAGTCCAGGGAACCTTAGGGTTCCTCTAGAGATAGCGAAGGTTCTAAAGCGCATCCTTTAGATCAGGGTTTCTCAACCAGGGGTCCAGGGAACCTTAGGGTTCCTCTAGAAATAGCTAAGGGTTCTAAAGTACACCCTTTAGATCAGGGTTTCTCAACCAGGAGTCCAGGGAACCTTAGGGTTCCTCTAGAGATAGCTAGGGTTTCCTTGAGCAATTTCTGCCTCTCAGATAAGTTCCCACTGACACCATTGATCTTTTTATCTATCTGTAAGGGGCAATTCTTCTCAATGACCACAAGTGAAAGGAGCATTCTATCTTGGATAAGGTTCTGTCAAAACGGACCCAGTATAAGTGCACCCTTTAAATCAGGGTTTCTCAACCAGGGGTCTAGGGAACATTAGGGTTCCTCTTGAGATAAGTGATGTCAGTGGGAACCTATCTGTAAGGGGGGAAATTCTTCTCAATGACCACAAGTGTAAGGAGCATTCTATCCTGGACAAGGTTCTGTCAAAACAGACCCAGTATAAGCGTACCCTTTATATCAGGGTTTCTCGACCAGGAGTCCAGGGAACCTTAGTGTTCTTCTAGAGATAGCTAAGGGTTCTCAAGCGCACCCTTTAGATCAGGGTTTCTCAACCAGAGTTCCTCTAGAGACAGCTAGGAGGTCCTTGAGCAATGAGCAAGTTCTGCCTCTCAGATAAGTTCCCACTGACACCACTGATCTTTTTATCTATCTGCAAGGGGGGGAATTCTTCTCAATGACCACAACTGTAAGGAGCATTCTATCTTGGACAAGGTTCCGTCAAAACGGACCCAGTGTAAGCACACCCTTTAGATCAGGGTTTCTCAACCAAGGTTCCTCTAGAGATAGCTAAGGGTTCTCAAGCGCACCCTTTAGATCAGGGTTTCTCAACCAGGAGTCCAGGGAACCTTTGAGGTTCCTCTAGAGATAGCCAAGGGTTCCTTGAGCAATTTCTTCCTCTCAGATGAGTTCCCACTGACACCACTGATCTTTTTATCTATCTGTAAGGGGGAAATTCTTCTCAATGACCACAACTGTAAGGAGCATTCTTCCCACTGACTATCACACTATTGTATCATGACATTTTAAGCAGGGGTTCCCTGAGACTGGAACATTATTTCAAGGGTTCCTCTAGGTTGAGAAAGGCTGCTTTAGATCTTTGGTCAGGTGCTCTCTATGATGCCACAGCGACTCTCTTCCCGGCACAAATCAGAAAGGGACAGGATGATGACGGCCGCCATGGGCCCCGGAGAAGCTTTCCTCTTCTACTGACCCCTGAACTGTTAATTGTTACCAATATCGTCATCTTCCTGAGAGGAATCTTTGACGGCCATGTACACCATCTTCTCCCGCGGTACTCGTGCCAGTCCGCTCTGTTCCAGGACGCCGGCGACGGGATGTCCGTTCTGAAAATCGCTCTCCGTCACGATCTCTGTTCCCCCTGGACAGATACAAGATATAACAGAGATTACAGAAACATCGACCCCATGAAGGAGCAGTGATGGGCCTTCCAAACAATGGCGAAATGTAAAGCGATAGTAAACCGCAGCTTGAGGAACATTTAAAAAAAAAACCCAAGTTGGAATGACGAAACACGTCAGGGTGAGGCTGTGGTGTTAGGAACCGGAAGTGATGCGGGAGCGCCATTTTGTGAGGTCTGGCGGTGGTGAGAGCCACTGCAAGGTAATGTCATGTGATGCATACTAGCACATCATGCAGGACTTCCCTTAAAGCAAAGCCCTCCAGCGGCGTGCCGTCCCTGCAGCAGAGGCTTCCATCTTTACCCGGTCTTCCTTCCAGGGTTCGCGAGCTCCGGCCATCTGACTGGCCGAGCCGCGATGATGTCACTCCCATGCGTGCGTGCGGGAGTCTCGGGACACGTCACAGTGCTCTGAACGAACAGCACGGGTATGACATTCCTTCAGAGAGCAGGCACCGGCTGTCCAAAAGAGCGATTATCTCCTAAACGGCGCACATTTAGGAGATATTCATTATTTTTTTCCCTACAGGAAAGCTTTATTGTAGGTAAAAGATAAAACAGCGGATTTACTTCTACTTCCAAAGTGGGGGGGGGGGTCAGATTATTTCGAAAACTGTCCCAATGTAGAATTCAGCCCCAACATCGGACACCGCACTGTCCATGGTTTTCAAGGACAACTACCTACCTTGTCACTGTAGTCATTTCAGGCTGGTTTACTTTCAGCAGTTTCACGCCTTCCCTCCCAAATCACCCCCCCCATGGAAGACAAATATATTTGAAATGCTACAATTTTGGCCATATTGAATATATTTCAATATATATATATTTTTTTTATATATACACACACACACACACACATATATACCGTATTTGCCGGCGTATAAGACGACCCCCCTACTTTTCCTGCTAAAATGTAGTGTTTGGGCTATACTCGCCGTATAAGACTACCCCTCTTCCAATGCACACCAGTGGGAGGAATAGTGCCCCATCATTGGTGTCAGTGGGAGGAATAGTGCCCCATCATTGATGTCAGTGGGAGGAATAGTGCCCCATCATTGGTATCAGTGGGGGGAATAGTGCCCCATCATTGATGTCAGTGGGAGGAATAGTGCCCCATCATTGGTGTCAGTGGGAGGAATAGTGCCCCATCATTGGTGTCAGTGGGAGGAATAGTGCCCCATCATTGGTGTCAGTGGGAGGAATAGTGCCCCATCATTGGTATCAGTGGGGGGAATAGTGCCCCATCATTGGTGTCAGTGGGAGGAATAGTGCCCCATCATTGGTGTCAGTGGGGGGAATAGTGCCCCATCATTGGTGTCAGTGGGAGGAATAGTGCCCCATCATTGGTATCAGTGGGGGGGAATAGTGCCCCATCATTGATGTCAGTGGGAGGAATAGTGCCCCATCATTGGTGTCAGTGGGAGGAATAGTGCCCCATCATTGGTGTCAGTGGGGGGAATAGTGCCCCATCATTGGTGTCAGTGGGAGGAATAGTGCCCCATCATTGGTATCAGTGGGGGGAATAGTGCCCCATCATTGATGTCAGTGGGAGGAATAGTGCCCCATCATTGGTGTCAGTGGGGGGAATAGTGCCCCATCATTGGTGTCAGTGGCAGGAATAATGCCCCATCATTGGTATCAGTGGCAGGAATAGTGCCCCATCATTGGTGTCAGTGGGAGGAATAGTGCCCCATCATTGGTGTCAGTGGGAGGAATAGTGCCCCATCATTGGTATCAGTGGCAGGAATAGTGCCCCATCATTGGTGTCAGTGGGAGGAATAGTGCCCCATCATTGGTGTCAGTGGGAGGAATAGTGCCCCATCATTGGTATCAGTGGCAGGAATAGTGCCCCATCGTTGGTGTCAGTGGGAGGAATAGTGCCCCATCATTGGTATCAGTGACACCAATGATGGGGCACTATTCCTCCCACTGAGACTTGCTGACCCTGTTCTCGTATGGTGCTGCTGCAGCCAGCATATGTGGTTGCAGCAGCACCTCTACACACAGAACACTTACCTGCTGCTCCGGCACTCAATTTTCACGGGGCCGCTCGGCTCCGCCCCCTCGCGGTGATTGGCCGCCTGTGTGCCTTTCCTGAGCTACAGTTTCTGGCGGCCAATCACCGGTGAGGAGGCGGAGCCGAGCAGCCGCACGAACATCCAGTGGCCGAACTGAAGGAGACGCCGCTCTTCCTGGACCGGATCGTCGTGGGACTGGATCCAGGTAAGAGACATCAGCCCCTGCAAACCCCTGTACTTAATGCCGCAGCCCCCCCTAAACATGTGTTACCGGCGTGTAAGACGACCCCCGACTTTTGAGAAGATTTTCAAGGGTCAAAAAGTCGTCTTATACGCCGGCAAATACGGTATATATATATATATATGTGTGTGTGTATATATAAAAAAAAAATAAATATATATATATATATATATATATATATATTTTTTTTTTTTTTTTTTTTTC